CTTTTTTATGGTAAAGTAATCTTTCACTCCTATCCATTTTGGCAGAATTACCAGGTAAAAGACGTCAAATCATCAGGAGCTGAAGCAGTTGTGTATGTATGTATCTTCATTATATGTGTTAACATGGTTATGATAATGAACTATCATAACCTGGGGGCTTTCTTTAGTAAGTAGTGGGGGTGTCCGCAGCCAAGTGTGCCTAGAAATATTGTATTTTATATACTGATATATTTTGTAGTTGCCAATACTTTAGTTGCCCTACTCCAGAGATAAGTTGAGCGTTATATTGGCCACGGGGAATCCCTTAGACCAATACGAGCCAAACGACTCAACCTAATTATCTCTGAGTGCTGTTGGTTCTGAAGGAGGAATCCTTACATTAGGCACGCGACAGGAGTGATATGTGACACATACATACATACATACATACATACATACATACATACATACATACATACATACATACATACATACATACATACATACATACATACATACATACATACATACATACATACATACATACATACATACATACATACATACATACATACATACATACATACATACATACATACATACATATACATACATACATACATACATACATACATACAACATACATACATACATACATACATACATACATACATACATACATACATACATACATACATACATACATACATACATACATACATACATACATACATACATACATACATACATACATACATACATACATACATACATACATACATACATACATACATACATACATACATACATACATACATACATACATACATACATACATACATACATACATACATACATACATACATACATACATACATACATACATACATACATACATACATACATACATACATACATACATACATACATACATACATACATACATACATACATACATACACACACATACATATTCATACATATACTTTCATATATGCATGTATGCACTCATTTTTACATATACACATTTACATACATTTATGCGCACACACTCACATGTTTTTACGCACGTACACATATAAGGACGAGAGTAAGGTGAACAAGTAACAGGAAGAGAGAGATAAGAAAACTAGAGAAGAAAAAAAAAAAAAGAACACGACAGAGGCTGGATGGAAACGAAACAGAATCATTTTACTAGACGTGTGCGATAAAAATGCACACTAACTCACGTGTGCACACCTGCAGTTTTAAAAGATAACTCACCGTGACTGGCCGTGACACAGATGATCTTATCCCGCGTCTCTACGTTATACTTCTCGAAGTTGAGAAAAACTCCCCCTGGATGATACACCGGTTGAACAGGATATACCTTTCCATAGCCATGTTGGAAGTTATAGACTCTACTTGAGCCCTCCCTTTTAACGTTTCCATACACCTGAAATATGCAGTCGAACTTGGGAGAGATGCTACTAATGCATAAAAAGACAAGCAATGCTCTGCCTAAACACTATATGTAGGAAGAGTGGCCAAACTGTCAAGACAGAAACAAATGAACTTGAAACGCAACACAAAAGACGCAAACACAAATTATTAGCAAGTCATCCCCTTGTGGGATGCAATTTTTCCCTATTTTAAAGCCCTACTCTGTCTCTTACTAGTGACCGCAATATAGCCCGGCCATAAATATGGTCTAATGGCTGAACGCGGTTTCCGGGACCTCTCCACCGGTGATCCTCATCCACATGTTAGCACTTTGTGTCATCGGGTGTTTATCGCTTGTGTGATGTCCTAGTGGGGTAAAATGTACCACTACTACTACTAAAAAAAAAAAAAAGATTTCATATCTTACTATTAAATTAAAAAAAAAAAAAAAAAAAACCTGCCTTAGTATTGAAGGCTGAAAACTGACATCATCTATAAAAGTACACTTGGCCTCCCCTCTCCTCTACAACCCTGCGCTCCTTTTCATACCTTTGCCAAAGATACACGGTGTGTTTGTGAAAGACATCGGGTAATGAGTTTAACGAGTGATGTAACGAAAACAATTATAAGAATTATGCTGATAAGAATAAGATATTACAATAAACTAGAAATGCGTGAAAAAAATGTATTTGGTTATTTGGTGATGTTAAAAGACACAAAAACGCAATACTTATCTTGGGGACATTTCAGAAAGAATTACTGAAATGAACAGAGATCTGCATTTGTATTTTGTTGATTACACTAAAGCATTTATTAAAATGAAACACACAGAAAAAAAATTAAAACGTTTGAAAATCTTAAATACTGATGGTAAAGATCTGATGAAGACAACATGGGAGAGCCAGTTTTACCTCAAAATAGTTGTTGATGAAAGAGGCAGGAATGTAAACTTGGCCCTTATCTTCTCGACATTCAATGGTTTCTGCTCCATTTATCGAACAGTTAATGACACCAAGATCCACATAACCTGTGGTTTCCAGACCATCGATGGACTGAACGTCTGGGCATGGTGGGCATGAGAACGACTGCTCTACCAGGAGCTGAAAGTTGTCAGGAACTGAAATATACTGTTTACTGATCGCTGCATCTGACCTGGAAAGACATTGAGAGTTTGTGTATGTGCCACATCTTATGTATTCCTTTTGTCATACATCCTTCTCACGTCATGCTAGAGCTTCGTAACAGAACGTCGCTCCCATCACGGTCCCCCTGAAAGTCATTTGGTCCTTCACCAGCTTTCCCGCCCTATGTGCTTTCCTGCACAGAATGCTATGCCCTGTTGCCCACTTTCCTGCTGGTCGGTCCCTAATCTTCCAGTAAAATTCTCCCCCTCCAAACCCATTCCCCCCTCTCACAACTCTTTTAAAGTCAACGTGACCTTTGAAATGTCCACATTTTGGGGGTGGCGGGTGGGGGTTGAGGCGGGAAGAGAAAAAATGGGATTGGGGGGGGGGGGGTGGGTTGATATTTAAATTTTAACCAAATCGAATATCTTAACATAGATAAGTAACCTTCAAAAACTCAAACCTGCTGTAATTTTATTGTTATCTTAGTCCAGTAAGACAAGCATAATTCTGTTTTTACCTTATCTTGAACTTCCAGATTCGGCTTAGTAACACTTGTGGCTTTTTTTAATTTTTAAATGTAAGGGTATGTTTGAATTCCACAAACACTTAGAATCGTAACTGCATGTTTCACTACACAGCAAACGGTGATTGGAAAAGGGGTGGGGTGAGGGGTGGGGTGGGGGGGGGGGGAATTGCAGGCTGGTAGGAAAAAAGGTTTCCAGGGAAAAGACCAATGCGTTCACCTTTGTTGAACTTGCTAGTTTACTTTCATCAGAAGTTAGAATCAGACCAACAACATTCACTGTGCATTCCCATACTACTCTTGTTGTTTGCCTGTGGGTGATTCCATCTCTTCTCCTGTATTGAGCTTGCTAGTTTACTTTCATTAGTAGTTAGAATCAGACCAATAACAACTACTGTGCATTTCTATACTACTCTTGTTGTTTGTCTGTGGGTGATTCCATCTCAAGTTTCTTGGACATGTCAAGACGTTGCTTAGATGAACATTTCTAAACAGGCAAGTTTATGGATGCGTACTCACGTTGACATATCCTTGTGTGCGTTGCGTTGATTTATGGGGAAATTAATCATACTATGCAGCTACGACACTCTGTCGTCCAGTCTGTTCTTTGAATGTAATTTTCTTCGGTGCGTGCTGCTGATTTGTATTTGACACCTTTTGTTCAGACGCTCCAGCATGTTTTTTCCACACGCAGAAAAGCCCTAGGCCAGGAACGATATATATGATGCCTTAATAAAGTCATGAAAGAGCTAGCGGGCATTGTGGATTAATCAAAGAGGAGAACCAACGCGAGGGCCAGTCCTACCGTAAACCCCATGCGCTTCATCAAGGCTGGGCAGATCTCTGAATGTTGAATGTTTAATTAGGAATCGACATCACAGCGCTCGTGACATCCCCATAAACGTTCCGTCGCCATATTCAGCAGCAAGCGAAGAGTTCCAGTTCTGATGGCACCAGTAACTGTCTGATTGTATAGGGCAGATCTCTAAAGGTAAAGTCAACAAGGTCGCATACGCTCCATCAATACTTGACTGTGCAAGAGACTGGTTACTGTCGATCAACCTGTCTGGTTCAGAGAAGTACCCATAATCAATCCCAAAGACCGGCCTGAGAAAAGACATGGTACCGCTCTCTGCGGAAAAACGCGAGCTGATCCTGATAGAGCTTAGCGTGCCGTACGAGTCGTAAATGCCAGAAAATCACCTATACCAGCTCGAAAATTGTTATCTGGTGGCCGGTCTGAGGAGATATGAGGCGTACACAGCAGAAATTATCGCCGTCGAGGTAGGTGCAAGATGACTTATCTCCGCTTCCACATCCAGTGTACTAAAGCAGCTGGGCTTGCCAGAAGATGAACGGAAACGGGCACTGGAAGCTGGCGTTGGATGCAACGGAAAGCTATGGGGGATGGAGCTCGGTAGACCAGAGCCCCTAGTAGAAAAGAACCTTACATCCCTTTAAAGCCGAAGTGTCTGATAAAAAAACCTGCCAGTGCCTCTCTGCCATTTGCCAAAGTAACGTTTATTCGATGAACCAACCGTAAGCTTGTCATTCTGGTCGTGAAGGCAGTCGTATATTTTGATACCACAGAGACAATATACAACACACAATCTCATAATACCTGTTGCAAAGTCACCATTTCGTCTTGTCCCTGTCCGAAAGTCTGATAAAGTGCAGCAAAGGATGTCTGAGATCTGGCTTCATAAACCAGGTCGGCCCACTTTCCCCAGATTGTCTAGGAAGATGAATGCCCGAAATAATCGTCGACGGGGGACCTTTCTACTGATGATCGGTGGACCCCTGTGGAGTTCTTCTTCTTCTTATTGTTCAGTGTCTAAACATATTGTCCTACATATGGCACACAAGTTCATGCCCTGTCGTAGCCTGCAGCAATAAGTCTAATTATGAATAAAGTCTTAGACATGTTGTCTAACGTAGAATAATGAACAATTACCGGAGTAAGTAATTGGTTGCATTGTCAGACCACACCCAGGTCACCAGGAGCGTCAAGCAGCCTCCAGTCAGGAGGAGAAGAATGCAACGAACCAGCCAGTCGATCTTCCTAGCCGCTCGTTTCAGCGACGTCATTGACATCTCTTCACCCAAGGAGGCACTCAGGGCATCAGCTAAGGAAACATTGATATAGTAATCGGTACAGACGTATAGCAAAGTGTAACATTTCATTCTACAACATGAGTCGTTCAGTACATGACGACGCTTAGTGAGACCTACACTTAGTGATTGCATGATCACTCGAACATTTACATTCAACGCCCTAACACATAGCTGACAGAGTTGAACTACAATGTTCGTACACAGATCTGGTGGCAGATCTCTGAAGGGCAATTTAGGTCTGTTTTGAAATCCGTCCTTTTTTCTCTTTGAAATGTTTGATTACCCCCCCCCCCCCCCCCCCCCCCCACCAATAAATAAATAAATATTAAGAACTCTTTTGTCATGGCCAGCGAGGAGGTGGTAGAACAGATCTCACAACACAAGAGCTACAACTCGAGATTCATATTAAATACGAAGCTAAAGCACTACAAGACATTTCAGAAGACGAGGAAAACGATGGTAATGGACTGGTTCCAAATGCTGAAATCAAGGAATGGTTGTCAGGTTGGGAAGACATGCATGTTTTCGTTAAGAAATAGCACTCAAGCATAACTATAGGTACTTAGCGAGCATTTTCATTTGATGACTTTGCGTTTCAAAATAGTAAAAAAAAAAAAAAAAAAACTGAAAAAAAAACCAAACACTGGATACTTCTTAAGAAAAAAAAAAAAAAAAAAAAAAGGCGGTGAATAGTCTAGAAATGCTGATAAACCGTCAGGACATCTTGTGTACAGTTGAAGTGGCACTATCCGATGTCATGATGTCATGATAAAAGGCGAAATCCCTTTTCAAATAATCGCCACTATTTATTTAAAATTTAAAAGGTATATTTCTATTCAAAATTTCTATTTATAAAGGCCTCCTGCATTCGGTTTCTTTCGAACACCTCCAGTTCGCAAGTGAAAGTATTTCTGTTCCCTGCTACAGAGGGTCTCTGGTTGGGCCAGAAATCACTGAGGAGAAAGACTGAGCTATGTGAGATATAACCCATCCAATAAAGCCGGTCATTTATTGTTTCATTGTTGTCAGGCGTAGCAGTCGACGTTCAGTTTGCAGTCGCCAGAATCACCGCATTAAAATCTATTTCTTATATATATACTAGCTGTACCCGGCCACGCGTTGCTGTGGCATAGTTTTGGCTAAATGGAAATGAAAGAAAATAGAAATCGCACGTGTCTAATACAATCATTGTCTGCTCAGATATAGAGATATTCTTTAATCCCCGCCCCCCCCCCCCCGCCACCACCACAACTTAATCCACCTACTACTCTCTCCCTCATCAAAGGTTTTTGGAAAATAAAGACAATGGAAATCGCACGTGTCTAATATAGTTAATGTCACAATCATTCTCTGCACAGATATAGAGATAGTCTGGTTTTCCAACTTTAGAACACGCACCTTATAATTGTGTCTTTATATTAGTGGTCGTTTAAATGGTGTTATTAGCACAGTAAACAAAAATGGTTATTTGGTTATCACATGCTAAAGCTGTTTGTATTTTTATAGGGGACGGAAGTAAAGCTACAACTGTACTTGTGAATAACAAAGTAAGTCGTAAAAAATAGAATAGCGGAGGTAGCGTTAGTAAAATATAAACATATTAGGTAATCAGAACTTGAAAATCACGTATAAAGCTCTTTAAGTTCTCTTAAATTTAAAGTCATTACCCCCCTCCCCTCTTCCACCGACTACTGCTCTCTCCCTCTTCGAAGGATTTTGAAAATCACTACCTGGTGATATTTTTGTTGTTGCTGTAACTGACATTGACATCCCTGTCTATCTGGACTAAAATGGGGAGCAGGAATTGTAATAGGTAGTGAATGGGGCTAGTGTAATATTTACCACATCATCCTTCAAGTACCAGTACAACTACTACCACGACCACCACCACAGTAGCTAAAATAATGTCACTGCTATCTGTGTTACCATCGGAGTAGACAGAGAGTCGTGAGCCAGAAGATTTGGTTCCGCATGGCTAGTGCTGTCCCACAGACTGGCCAGGTTAGGATGTATAATTTCACTTCCCGACAGAAGAAAGCCATAACCTTACCGGCGGTCTTCACATGAGAGCACTATGGTGTAACAGCCCAACCACAACTATTACTGCTGCTGCTACTTTAAGTGGGTAAAGCAGTTACTGTGACTTAAAGCTCTCTCAGTTAATAGTTTGCCCCCCCCCCCCCTAAATTCACCGACAACTCTTTCCCTCATTTGGGAGGGGAAAAAACAACACTTGAAAAGCAAATGAACACCAAAAAAAAAAAAAAAAACCACCATATTTAGGAAAATGAACGCCATGGTAAAACAGCACATATTAAAACTCCAACGCAGATGAAATAACTAATCTAAATGAAAAAAAAAATGGAAAAATCAATGAAATTTCAGCGTAACCATGCAATCGGAAAGTTTAGAAATGCAATCATAAGTATGCGAAAAAATGGTCAAATTTAATTATCAAATGGTTTACCCATTTACTTGTCTTTTTTTTTTTTTTTTTTTAAAAGTATGGCTAGTGCTGTCACCACGACAGAGCAGATGAGGATATTATTATTTTAGTCCAGGGTAAAAAAAAAAAAAATTAACTACTACGGATTCGAACCCTGGTCTCCCGCACAGGAACCCAGTATTCTAACCATTCGACCAAGCAGCCACTTAATAGGATCAACGAAAAGAGAACCTAACTATTTTAAGTGTCTGCAGTATCCCCATTATAACACAACTCAAAAAACAGCGGGGCAATTGTTTTCTCATAGACAGATATTCCAAATATATCAATGAAACGGCACAACAAAAGAAATCGCTCGTGTCTAACGCGGTTAATGTCGCAGTAAATGTCTGCGCAGACGTCGAGATAGTCCCTGATGCCCCCCCCCCCCCCCCCTCTTTTTCTCTACGAATCCATCGGCTACTTTTCAACTCATTGAAGAATGTTTGAAAAAAAAAAAAAAAAAAAAAACCGAAAATAGAAATCGTGTCTAATATAGTTATTGTGGCAATCACTGCCTGCACAGATATAGATATAGTCTTGTTTGCTGTACCACGACATATTCTATGTTTTAGAGAGGTGTTGGCTGCACGGCACCAACGTGGCTATAATTAGAAATCACTAAAATTATAAATATTAGTTTAGAATATTATGGCTTAAATTGTGGTCACCTATCTCTAACAGTGACAGGTTGAATTTCAAACCATGATAGTTCAATATCCGGTATCAAAACAAACATATCCTGAAAATTTCAGCTAAATCGGTTCAGTAGTTTCCTAGTCTATAGGGGGCAAACAAACACACAAACATTGATTTTTATATATATAGATATGCGTATATGCACATTTTGTTTCTTTCAGTATTGTCAGTATTGTACACAGATCTGGTGGCAGATCTCTGAAGGGCAATTTAGGTCTGTTTTGAAATCCGTCCTTTTTTCTCTTTGAAATGTTTGATTACCCCCCCCCCCCCCCCCCCAAATAAATAAATAAATATTAAGAACTCTTTTGTCATGGCCAGCGAGGAGGTGGTAGAACAGATCTCACAACACAAGAGCTACAACTCGAGATTCATATTAAATACGAAGCTAAAGCACTACAAGACATTTCAGAAGACGAGGAAAACGATGGTAATGGACTGGTTCCAAATGCTGAAATCAAGGGAATGGTTGTCAGGTTGGGAAGACATGCATGTTTTCGTTAAGAAAATAGCACTCAAGCATAACTATAGGTACTTAGCGAGCATTTTCATTTGATGACTTTGCGTTTCAAAATAGTAAAAAAAAAAAAAAAAAAAACTGAAAAAAAAACCAAACACTGGATACTTCTTAAGAAAAAAAAAAAAAAAAAAAAAGGCGGTGAATAGTCTAGAAATGCTGATAAACCGTCAGGACATCTTGTGTACAGTTGAAGTGGCACTATCCGATGTCATGATGTCATGATAAAAAGGCGAAATCCCTTTTCAAATAATCGCCACTATTTATTTAAAATTTTAAAAGGTATATTTCTATTCAAAATTTCTATTTATAAAGGCCTCCTGCATTCGGTTTCTTTCGAACACCTCCAGTTCGCAAGTGAAAGTATTTCTGTTCCCTGCTACAGAGGGTCTCTGGTTGGGCCAGAAATCACTGAGGAGAAAGACTGAGCTATGTGAGATATAACCCATCCAATAAAGCCGGTCATTTATTGTTTCATTGTTGTCAGGCGTAGCAGTCGACGTTCAGTTTGCAGTCGCCAGAATCACCGCATTAATATCTATTTACTTATATATATACTAGCTGTTACCGGCACGCGTTGCTGTGGCATAGTTTGGCTAAATGGAAATGAAAGAAAAAGTAGAAATCGCACGTGTCTAATACAATCATTGTCTGCTCAGATATAGAGATATTCTTTAATCCCCGCCCCCCCCCCCACCGCCACCACCACAACTTAATCCACCTACTACTCTCTCCCTCTCTCATCAAAGGTTTTTGGAAAATAAAAGACAATGGAAATCGCACGTGTCTAATATAGTTAATGTCACAATCATTCTCTGCACAGATATAGAGATAGTCTGGTTTTCCAAACTTTAGAACACGCACCTTATAATTGTGTCTTTATATTAGTGGTCGTTTAAATGGTGTTATTAGCACAGTAACAAAAATGGTTATTTTGGTTATCACATGCTAAAGCTGTTTGTATTTTTATAGGGGACGGAAGTAAAGCTACAACTGTACTTGTGAATAACAAAGTAAGTCGTAAAAATAGAATAGCGGAGGTAGCGTTAGTAAAATATAAACATATTAGGTAATCAGAACTTGAAAATCACGTATAAAGCTCTTTAAGTTCTCTTTAAATTTAAGTCATTACCCCCTCCCTCTTCCACCGACTACTGCTCTCCCCCTCTTCGAAGGATTTGAAAATCATACTACCTGGTGATATTTTGTTGTTGCTGTAACTGACATTGACATCCCTGTCTATCTGGACTAAAATGGGGAGCAGGAATTGTAATAGGT